TTTTTTTTTTTAAAGTTTTTTTTTTAAATTATTGAGCGTTAATTTCCTTCCTAACCCCATGTAGAAAAAAAAGAAAAACAAACACTTAAAGTAGACATGCATGGTCAAATAAAACAAATTCCCGTTCTGTCCCTTCTTCTTTATGAGATTATTGTTCAGTTATGTCTGACTCTGTGTCCCCGTGTGGGGTTTTTCTGGAGTGGTTTACCATTTTCTTCTCCAGCTCATTTTACAGATGAAGAACTGAGGCAAACAGGGTTAAGTGATTTGCCCAAGGTCACATAGCTAGTAAGTGTCTAAGGCTGGATGTGAACTCAAATGAGGCTTCCTGATTCCAAGAGACTGCCCCCTCTCTTATCCCCACTCTGTCACTAAGCGTCAGTCTTTCCCTATCTATTGATTGTTTCCTTGTGGCTTACAACATGCCCATCTTTCTCTGATCTTCAAAAAAAAGAAAAAATCATTTGATCATCCGCACTAGCAATTGTCCTCTGTTTCCTCTCTTTTGTTGTTAAACTCCTTAGAAGGCTGTCAATAATAGGGTCCCTTTCATTTCTTCTCACCCTTTTCTTAACTTTCTACAGTTGCGTTTGACCGCATTCAGCTGACACTGTTCTCTCCAAAGTTTCCAGTCCTCTTTTAATGGCCAAATCTAATGGCTTTTCTGAATCCTCATCCTTCTTGAGCTTTCTTCAGCCTTTGACACTGTTAATCACTCTTTTCTTCCTGATATTCTTTTCTGACCTGTCTCATCACTCCTCAGTTTCCTTCCCTGTGTGAGGCCATTCCTTTTAACTGTTGTTGTTTCCCTAGGCTGTCCTGGGCCCTCTTCTCTTTTCCCTCTCTACAGTTCTGCTTGGTGATCTCATCAGCACCTTTGTGTTCTATTATCATTTCTATGTAAATGCTCCTCAGATCTTAAGGAGCTCACAGTCTAAGGTGGAAGACAACAAGTAAACAAATATGTATAAACAAGCTATATATAGGATAAATAGAAAATGATTAAAAGAGAAAAGGCATTAGAATTAAGAGGGGTTGGGAAGAGCTTCCTATAGAGGATAAGATTTTAGTTGAGACTAAAGGAAGCCAGGAAAGGCGGGAGGTGGAGATGAGGAGGGAGAGCATTCCAGAAAAAGGGGACAGAGAGAAAATGCCCAGACTTGAGTCTTGTTCATGGAACGACCAGGAGGCCACTGTCACTGGGTTGAAGAATATATGGCAGGGAGTAAGATGTAAAGAATATTGGAAAGGTAGGGGGGTGCTAGATAATGAAGGGCTTTGTACATCATACAGAACATTTTGCATTTGATCCTGGAAGTGATAGGGAGTCACTGGAGTTTATTGAGTATGGAGGTAGAATGGTTGGACTTGTGGTTTAGGGAAATCACATAGTAACTCAACATATCCCAAACTGGACTCAGTCTCTTTATCCCCAAACCTTCCCCTCTTCCTAAATTCACTGTTATTGTCCAGGACACCATTGTCCTCCCAGGCACTAAATCTAGGCATCATCCATGCCCTCTTCATTCTCTCTCCTGTCCCATATACACTCTTTTGTCAGGTTCTGTCGATTTTTCATTGACAGCACTTCTCAAATGCACCCTCTTCTCTCTTCTGACGCTGCCACCATGCTGGTATAGGCCTTCACCTTACACCTAGACTCTTACAATAGCCTTTAGTTGTTCTCCTTCCCTTAAGCCTCTCTCCATTTTAGTCTGTCCTCCTGTCAGCTATCAAATTGATCTTCTTACAGCATGGGGTCTAACCATGTCATATACATCCCTCCCTACATACTGCTCCTCCTTCAGTAAACTATAATGGCTCCTTATTATCTCCAGGAGGAAATTTAAAAAAATCCTGTGTTTGGCTTTTAAAACTCTTCACAACCTAACCCCGTCCTATTCTTTTCCAGTCTTCTTATTCTTTATTATCAGTCCTCTAGAATCATGGTTGATCAATGCACTTATCAGTTCTTAACTCTTTTAAAATTGTTGTTCTGATTCTGTTCATATCACTGCATCAGTTCATATAAATCTTCCCAGGTGTCTCAGAAACTCTCTTCTCACAGCACAATAGTATTCCACTATATTCACATATTGTAGTTTTTTCATTCATTTCCCAATTGATGGGTATCCTCCTTACTTTCTATTATGAAAATTATAATTTTATTATATTTTTAGAAATTATTATTATAAATTATAAAAATAGCTGTTATAAAATTTTGATACATATAGGACCTCTTTTTTCTTTGACCTTTTTAGGAGTATAAAGCTAGTGCTGGTATCACTAGATCAAAGTGTATTCATAATTTAGTAACTTTGGGGACATAATTCTAAATTGTTTTCCAGAATGTCTTGACCAGTTCACATCTCTGCCAACAGTGTGGTAATGTTCCTGGTCAAAGGATATGCATAGTTGAGTGACTTTTTAGGCACAGTTCCAAAAATGATTTATAGAGTGGTTGTATTAATGTATAGCTCCATCAGTGGTACATTAATGTGTCTGTTTTCTCAAAGCTCCTCTATTTGTCATTTTCCTCTTTTGTCTATTTTGCCATTCCGATGGTGTAATGTAGCACCTCAGAGTCACTTTAATTTTAATTTCTCTTAAGTATTAGTGATTTGGAGTTTTTTCCCCCCCGGAGCTGTTGATAGTTTGGATTTCTTCTTTTGAAAATTGCCTGTTTCTTTTACCATTTGTCAGTTAGGAAATGTTGTAATTCTCTTTTGAAGAGCTCCTAACCATACACATCATCATCAAAAATAATATGTATTTGTTATGGTACAGATAGAAGAAGTGTGCTATAGTGGTAAGAACTAGAGTCAGAAGACGTATTCATGTCTGGTCATTGACAATTACTAAGCTGTTAGAGGATGGAAAAGTCACTTGGCCTGAAAGAGTGTAAGTTTCGTCACGTATGAAATGGAAATAAAAATAATTGTACTTCTTCCCTTACATGATTCCTGTGAGAGAAGCACTTTATCACTGTATAAGTGCAAGTTGAATGGTATGAAAGACCAGACTTAAATTTACCTGGACCTCTGCATCCAGTGGGTGCTTAATAAATGTTTATTGACTTGAATTTGATTTGTAGAATGTACTAGCTTCTACAGAAACTCAAGAGGAAGAACAAAGATATGTAAGGGAAGGTTATGTAATCAAAATAGGAGTAGGTCATTTATGTAATTAAGATTTGTAGTACTATTTTGAATTCTCTTTGTGTTATAGGCAAGAAGTTACCGAATGTTTCATGATGATAGCATGAAGTCATTCTTTCGTAGACTTAGTTTTACTCCTGATGGATCTTTGCTTCTCACACCAGGTAATGAAAGAAAGAATACTAATTTATCTGTTAGCCCTTTTGCACTCAAACTAGGAGTGGTACTTAAGACATCCTATTTTAGGAGTGTGGCTCATATAAGTGTTCCTTACTATGTAACACACACACACACACACACACACACACACACACACACACACACACACCCCGATACCCCTTGACTCCAGAATTGGTGTGGTAAGAGGTACGGAAGTCTAGCACTGGAAGTTACATTACATAAGGTAATGACAAACACTGTAGGTCATAAAATGCAAACTGGACAGTTATTGAGTCCAGAGACATCACTTAAGGTAGAGAACAAGAGGAGACAGTGTAGCATCGTGGTTAGGGAGCTAGCTTCAGAGTCAGGAAAACCTGGTTTTAAGTCCCACCTCTAATATTTACTTGTTATGTGATCCTGGGCAAGTCATTTAATTTCTCAGTGCTCCCAGACAACTTCCAAAGATTATAATTTGAAGAAAATGGGCCAATCTGTATTGGGCTAGTAAAGCTTTTCACTTGGAGCACCCTACACAGATGACATCACAGGTCCAGTGGAAAAAAAGAAAAAAAGGTAAAGGCTCTTTAACAAATGTTTGTTGAATTCCTATTGTATGCACGGCATTGTTTCACTATTCTTTTGAGGGGTACAAATATATATCTAGGCTGTATTCCCGTGCTACAGCTTGAAGTTAGGTAAGGCATGTAAGGATGTTAAATGTCTCCAGGCCAGGATGGGCAGGAACACTGGAATAGCATGAATCCACATACCAGAGCAGCTGGGGTATAATTATAATTATATATAATTTTGGGACAAGGGCTTCTTGTCTTTGATTCTAGTTTCAGGTACTTGTCTTTGTGGAATACATAAGAGCTGATAGGCATATTGTGTTTCCCAGAGCAAGGCAGTTTCTGATGATTGTAGGAGGGTGAAGCAGGCAGGTGCCACAGGTTTATACCCAAGGTTCAGAGTTCAGGGGATCATAGAATCATAGTGTGGAATCCCAGAGGGTTGGAGCTAGGAGGAACCCAAGAGATCATCTTGTCCAACATCCACCTTTTACAGATGACATCCAGAAGGTAAATGGTAGAACCACATAAGATTTTGGTGGCAGAACTTAAGTCTTGAGCCCAATTTTTCTGAATCCCAGTCTAGTGTTTTTTCCAGCACACTACAAGCTAAGATAGGAGAGAGCCAAAGGGTCTGGAACCCATGTAAGACAAGTCAAGAAACATATAAATACTTATGTGCCAGGCAGGCACTGTGCTAAGCACTGGGGATACAAAGAAAGGCAAAAACATTGCCTGCTTTCACTGATCTCACTTTCTAATGGGTGATAAAGGGTGGGATAATAGGCATACAACTATGTACACATAAAGATAAATTGGAGATGTTCTCAGAGGGAAGATACTGGATAGGGAGGTGACAAGTATCATCCTTTATAGAGGGTGGAGTTTAAGCTCAGTCTTGACAGGGAAGCTAGATACCAGAAACAAGGAGGGAAAGCATTCCAGACAAAATGTGGAGACAGACAATGAAAATACTGTTGGGAGATAAGTCTTGTGTGAGGAACAGCAAGGCCAATGTCACTGGATCACAGAGTCTGTGGAAGCAAGTAATGTGTAAAATGACTAGAAAAATAGGAGGCAGTTGGGCTGTAAAAGGCTTTAAAGGCCAAACAGGGTTTTATATTCAATTCTGGAGGTATTAGGGAGGCCTTAGAGTTTGTTAAATAGGGGCAGCTAGGTGGCACAGTGGATAGAGCAATGGCCCTGGAGTCAGGAGGACCTGAGTTCAAATCCGGCCTCAGACCAAACACTTGACACTTACTAGTTGTATGACCTTGGACAAGTCACTTAACCCCAATTGCCTTAAAAAAAATTTTTAAAAATAGAGTTTGTTAAATAGTAGGGATGATATGGTTACACCTGCATTTTAGGAGGATCAGTTTGACGGCTAAATGCTGAGTAGACTGAAATAATGAGAGTCTTGAAGCAAAACAATTAACCAGAGGGCTGTTGAAATAGTCCATATATGAGGTAATCAGAACCTGTACTAGCTGATACCTATGGCATAGAAGAGAGAATGAAACATTTACTAGAGCTACTGCAGAGAAGATAAAAACAACAGGACTTGGCAATAAATTGGATGTGTGGAATGACTGAAAGTCAAGAGTCAAGGATAATACCTAGGTTGTAATGCCCAGGTGACTGGGAGGATGGTAGTGCCCTTGACAAAATAGTGAAGTTCAGAAGAAAGGAGGATCTGGAGGTGAAGATAATGTGTTCAGTTTGGGACATGTTGAGTTTTAGATGTCTCCAGAATATCCAATTTGAGATGTCTCCGTAGGCGGTTAGAGATGTGAGACTGGAAGTTGGGACTGGATAAATAAATCTGTAATTCACCCACGTAGAGAAAGTAATTGAATCCATGGGAGCTGATGAGATCACCACGCCAAGTAGTTTCGAGAGAGAAGAGAAGAGGACCAGGGACAGAGTGTTGGAGGACACCCACAGTTAGCTGGCATGACCTAGATAAAGATACAGCAAATAAAACTGAGAAGGAAGGAGTCAGACTAGTAGGAGCAGAACCAGAAGAAAGTGTCACAAAAACCTAAAGAGGAGAGTGTTCAGGAGATGAGGACTGGTCAGTAAGAGGTCTGGATCTAGGCAAAGGGTCTGAGTAAAAGGGCATGTCGAGCAAGATAGTGTGAAAGCTTTTTTGAGGAAGTGGTTTCTCTATCTGCTCCCTGCCTGGTACCGGAGTTGGTACCCTCGAGAGTGAGTAGATGATGGAAAATGCTATCCACATCCAAAGAAAGAACTATGGAGTTTGAATGCAGATAAAAGCATACTATTTGCTATTTTTTTTTCTTCTGTTGTGTTTTGTTTCCTCTTTCTGGCGGTTCCTCCTATTGGTTCTAATTCTTACTTACAACATCACTAATGTGAAAATATGCTTAATAGGAATGTAAATGTATAGCCTATATCAGATTGTGCGCTGTCTTGGGGAGGGAGGGGAAGAAGAATTTTAAACCCAAAAGCATATGGAAGTGATTGTTGATAAATCAAAATATATTAATTAAAAATTTTTTTTAAAAATTAAGTAAATAAAATCAAACTTAAAAAAAAAAAAGAGTGAGTAGGTGGATCTGAGCCCAAAGAATCAGGCAGTAAGAATACTTAGCTGAAGGTGGAAAATAAAGGAAAAGGAATAAAGTAGTTGTACATATACCCACAGTCATAGATAGAGTCTCAGGCCTAAGAATCTTGTACAACAGCATAAATCATCTTTAAGGGAAGAACTTTTTTTTTTTTTTTTTTTGTTAAACAAAACAAAGGTAAATGCTATTGTTCTGAAGTAGTTTAATAATGTCAGTTTCCCCCCCCTATAATCTTTTCTTCTGTCCCTACAAATTTAGCAGGTTGTGTTGAATCCGGTGAAAATGTAACAAATACAACTTATGTTTTCTCCAGAAAGAATCTTAAAAGGTATGGCTTGTAGACAAACATTTTAAAATCTTTTTAGGCAGTTGTTGTTGCTTTTTTCTAAAATTATGATGGTTCCCTTAGGCCTCTTGCTCATCTCCCCTGCCCTGGAAAAGCAACACTTGCTGTCCGCTGCTGTCCAGTCTACTTTGAATTGAGGCCAGTAGGTAATACAAGTAGTATAACAGAAGTAGTTGAAATAAGTCTCAGAGGCATATCACAATAAGAGACTATGGTCTCTTTGTTATTAGGAAAGATGAGTTTCTGGAGTTGGCTTATTCACAGTCATGGCTGGAAGCCCGGATTGAGGGATTTCCAAGTTCTAAGAACCTGTTTCATAGGCAATATGCAAGTTAGTTTGCAGTTTACCTTCCTAAACATTTGATAATGGAACTCTAGTACCAAGTACTAGAGGATGTCTTTTTAGTTACTTTGGTTTTTCATGTGTAACAGGGATAGCTTTTTATCTGTGTGATTTATTAGTGTTTCCTTTTAACTTTTCTAAGTTACAGAAATATCACTTGAGTTATTTTTCATCAGCCTTCAAAACAGACAAGAATAAATGTTAAATAATTTGTCTGAGCACCAAAATGTCACCCAGAATGTAAGCTTTTTGAGAGAAGGAGTTGTTCCATTTTTTAATTGGTACTCTCAGTCCCTAACAAAGTACCTGGCATGGAGTAAGTGCTTAAGCATTTTCTTATTGATTGATTGATCCTCAGTCTCATTTTTCTGCTTCAAGGAAGCTCTATCCAAGTTATTACAATTTCTTCCCGTTGTTTTCTGATTTGTCTAGGATCGAAAATGTATGAATACCTATATTAGCAATTAAAATGCTCAAAACTGACTTTCAGTTAACTTATGCTTGATGAAACTCCTGGGTTGAGGTTTCTGTTTTTGGTAGCGTGCCTATCATTTCCTTTGAAGTTTTCTTTTTCTTTTAATTTTCCTTTCCTTATGGCTTTTTCTACTTTAGATAAAGCATCACAGGAGTCAGGACTGGAACTGATTAGCCTACCCTATCGGTTGGTGTTTGCTGTGGCTTCTGAAGATTCTGTGCTTTTCTATGACACCCAGCAGGCCTTTCCTTTTGGTTATGTGTCCAATATCCATTATCATACACTGAGTGATATTTCATGGTGAGTTAGCGGAGGGAGGGGGACTTTGAACTCTTAGGTTTTGTCTCTGTACCTTCTTCTCCTTGAGATATGGTGTTGAGTGGAGACATATCTTGGTTTTTATCAAAATTTTTTATCCTTTTTCCCGCTACTCTGGGGTCACCCAAGACATCTATCACATCCATTTCTAGAAGTTAGTGGATTAGATTAAAGAGACCCAACAGAGGTAAGTCACACATCTTGCCAAAGTAGTAATGTAAGTTTGGTGTTTCCCTACCTGATCTTTGTTGTCACCTTTGATCAGTGATGAAGGTTGACATATAGTAGTTAACATACAGAGTGTCCCAAAAGTCTTAGTGCAGCTTTAAGCCATTAATGCTACTCAGGTGATTGTTATTTAATATTATTATATGTATTCTGTTATTTATTATATCATATTATATTTATTATGTATATTATTATATATTATATTGTTGTGTTATAATGTATAATTTATTGTATTTTGTATTATATGTATATAAGCTAGTAAATTTAAGCTAGTAAATTTAAATTCTACTAACACTTAAATCTGCACTATGACTTTTGGGACACACTGTATTGTAAGATCAAGTGAGATAATATATGTAAAGTGTTTTGTAAACTTCAAAGTGTTTATTATTATCATGGTTATTATTTGTACTGAGAGAAGTGCTTGGGGACAAGAATGTCTTTTTGCCCCTGCTTGCGCGATTTTTTTAAGGATCTAAATTTTAATAGGAAGTTACTATATAGTTTGCCACAGTTTGAATCCTATTGCTGTAGTAGGAAGTGAACAGATGAGACTAGATAAAATCAAATTACAAATAATAACTTATCTTACTAACAGTTTGAGATTTACAAAGTACTTTCTTCACCGCAACCCTGTGAGTTAAATAGTACAAGTAAACCTTATCTCCATCTTTACTGATGAAGAAATTTCGGCATATAGAAGTTAAATGAATTGTCCAGGGTGATACAGGATTGAAACTTAGTATTTGTAGTTGAAAGACCAGCCCTTTTTTCATCGAAAGTTTAACTTTGATTAATTGGATACTTTAAAATAAAAATGCAGAACATACTTAGATCTTGTTTTCAAGATTTAACCATAATTTTCCAAGTTATCTGTTTATTTATCTAGGAGAACTGATAACATAAAGCAAGCTTTGTAGGATACAGATTTACTCTTGGTAAATATACTTGGTAGAATCTTGGTTTTTAGTTTTATTTTCAACTTTTTTCAACAAGTAGAGCAACCAGTTCCATAAAACATTTCTTTCATTTTCTTCCCTTCTTTGGAAAAAAAGGTCCAGTGATGGGGCTTTCCTGGCCATTTCTTCTACAGATGGGTATTGTTCCTTTGTGACATTTGAGAAAGATGAACTTGGAGTGCCTTTAAAGGAGAAACCTGTTTTAAATGTGAGAACTCCTAATACAGCAGAGAAGAAAGCCAAGAATCAGACACACCGAGTGACTTCCCCAAGCCCTAGGCCAGGGGAGGGAACCCCTACCAGTAGAAACCAAGATCCAAACAGTTCTATGACACCCCTTCAGAATAGGCAGTCTCCAGCCCTGACGGTGAACAAGGACCTGCCCATGAGTCCTCTTGGAAATAGAAGCTCCCTGAATCCATCCTCAGAAGAGAAGAAAACTCTGCAGGCTTGTAGTCAGAACATAAAGTCAAGCCAACCCCGGAGGATCACTTTGAATACTTTACAAGCCTGGAGTAAGACAACTCCCCGGTAAGAAAAACTTTAGCCAATATAGAAAACTGTAATTATAAAACATTGGGATGAGGTGGAGAAGACATATGCTAGCACAAAATGACAACAAATAGTGCTAAAAAAAAAAAATAAGGTTTCTATAATGATGTCTCTGTTTCAGTAGATAGCAGTACTTTGTGATCTAGTTATAACAATTTATCTATGACAACTAGTCCTGTTTACCAGTTGCTTTCTTTTGCTTTAGTGTTATAGTCTTTGTAGCCAAAGTGCCTGGCTGTTGTTTGTGCTGTAGGCAGTACGATCATTTAATTGAATTTAATTGAATTTGAGTTCTCATATAGCAAGACTGTAGCGCCCTCTTGTGTTCCACATATTTTGCCTCTCATAATGAAGCCTAAGATTGCAGTAACTTTCTTTATTGTCATGTCACGTCGTTGATTTGAATTAAACTTGCATTTCACTAAAACCCCGAGGTCTTTTTTTACACAAACTGTTGTCTGCCTTTTCTTCCAGCCTGTTGAGATCATTGTGGGACCTTCTTGGTCATCCTTCATATGACTATTATCTTTCCCAGGTTTGTGGCAGTTTCAGATTTGATGAATGTACCATTTATACCTTTGTTCAAGTCAATATTGAACAAAGGGCCAAGGACATATCCCTGGAACATTCCCCTAGAGCCCTCTCTTCAAGTTGACATTAAGTACTGGCTTTTTTTCTCTAAAGGAATAGATCACTACTTGTGTTAAGTGAGATGCTGCAGGCAGAACTATATAATCCATACTTTGCTTCAGTTTTCTCTGCCAAAGAGAATGATATTTGGAGATGGCAGCCAGATGGCATAGTAGATAGAGTTCTAGACTTGGCATCAGAAAGTTCTAAGTTTTAATCCTGCTCTAAACACTAATAGCTGCGTGAAGTTAGGCAAGTCACTTAATTGCACTTATCTCAGTTTCTTCATCTATAAAATGAGATAATAATAAAGCCAACCTCATAGGCTTATTGTGAAGTTCAAATGAGATAATATATGTAAATCACTTCACAAACCTTAAAGTGATATATTAATGCTAGCTATTGTAGGAAAGGACATAAGAAAAGAGTATTGAAATGTAAGTGAAGATTACGAAAAACACATACCTGTTCTCAGCAAGTTTAAGTCATCAGCCCTTTTTGTTGATATTTATCACCAACTTCAGCTCATTTTGAGTTATAGGATTCCTAATACTATCATTTCTTCATCATTTGAATTATTTCTTCTTATATATTCATGATTTCCTGCTTGAGAACTTCCTGGTCAGCTTGGGCAGATTTTCCCTATAGAATTTTAAGTAATGGGATTCTTCTTAGCCTTTCTCTGAATCCTTTAAAATCTTCAAAAACCTAGGATTTGTGTTCCTGCTATCACAAATTCTAAGGTGGCATAGTCACAGATTATCAAATTTTCTCATATTTTCTACTACTTTGTCAGGATCAGGGCCAGTTCTCTTCATTGCTTTCTCTATTTTATGAAGAATGAAATTATTAGGGCAAGCTAGGAATTTATAAGCTTTTGTTATAGGCAGGTCCAGCAGATTTCTGTACAATTGAATTGTCCATTACTAGTAAACTTCTGTTCCAGGCTGTGCTCTTTTCCCAAAACTCTTTATTTCATTTTAAGAATACTTGCATAATTTTCAGCTGAAAGTTTAAGCATATCTTATTGCATTATCTACTTTTGAAAATTATTAAATAGCTGTGCTGTTTCAAAAAAAATGAATTTGGTTATCAAACATGAATAGAATGAATGCCTATCCATTATTCAACCATGTTCCCTATCATTTTATTATTTTTTTTAATCTAGGAGAATAAACTTAATGGCCTTAAAGACAGATGCTCAGACATGCACCCCACAAGTCAACTCTGCTTCTAGTCCATCTATAGAAGTATGTCAGCCAGGTGAGTAAATTTTAATTGTTTAACTAAACCAGAGATATTTTTAATTCCATTGGGCTGAAAGTTAATATCTCTTATTAGTTTTATCAGATCATCTTCTAATGATGAAAGGTATAACTTCCTAAAACTGTCATGCATATTGATACTTACTAGTTTCCTGTAAATAACTCAGCAGAGATTATGGATGGAATTATCACAGAAGGTGATCTGCCTTCATTGTTCCCCAGGGCAATTACCTTTAGATGGTGGAGTCCATATTTGTCAAGATTGTACCTATATATGCCTCTTTTATCTAGTTGTTCCTCCACACAGTTCATCCTCTTACTGATATTGAATTTGTTTTTGTTAAAGTAAGTTACATCTGACTTTAAGAAGTCCTTGGTTTCTACTCAACAGAGAATTTATTAAGCACCTTACTATGTTCAAAGCATCATACAAAAATTAGTCTTAACTCTTCACAGAGCTTACATTCTGTTGGACTTTTCATAACCACACACTTATGCTTCTCAATATTGTAGAGATACCTGAAGACACTCTTTGCAATTCTCCAGAATCAAAACGCCTCAGGTTCAATGAAACACCTACTTCACCATCTTCTGAAAATGAAAGGAGCCAAGGTTTAAGCAGCTGAAAGTCTGGAAGACTGGATTCCTGATGAACTTTCATTACCTAGCCATAGTATGACCAAAATAGGAGAGGCCTTTGGGTCCAAAAGGAGGCTTATCTGATGGAGTATGTGACTTGTTCAGCTTCCAACCCAGGTGCAGCAAGTGCTTGAAGCATGATTCTTGTAGTAGAAGATACTGGCTTGTACTGCTTTTTCAGCAAATAACTATTCTTTCTATTTATCACACATTTTAACTCAGGAGAATGAAGGTATTTATCCTTAGATTAAATATTGGCATTGTTCTCCTAAAGGTGGAACTCTAAACCTCTTTAGCCATCTGGAAATGTTTAAATTGTTGCGAAAGTCCATGAACCTTGCCCCTTATTCTGAAGCATTTTCCTAATGATGGAACTTTTCTTCTAAGATTAGATCTCAAAAAAAGGAGAAAATGTAAATCTCTTCTAGGCTTGATCTTTTGGATTTTAGAGGCCGTGAAGTGATTGGTAATTTAAATTATAGCTTTCCATAATTACTTTATTTGCATTTCAAAAATTACTTTAAATAGCCCACCATGTGTCTTGGATTTGCTTACCTCAGTCCTCATGGGTAACAATAATAAAGTGTTTTTTAAAAACTAAGCTTTCTGAATACAATAGTGTTAGAGTTGGAAAGGCCATTAGATATTTTCTAATCTGGTCCACACTTCATTTTTTAAAAAGTTTTTTTGTTTTGTTTTTACATTCCAAACATGTACAGATTACTCCAACTTCATGAGCAGTCTCTAAGTAAAATTAGTAATACAGTGAGCTCATCTGAAAATGCTTACATTTCATCTCTATTGCAGCCTCCCCTTTATCTCAACCACCTCATTGAGAAAAAAAAATTAGAAAAGAAAAACAAATTTCTTGCAACAAAGATGTATAGTCAAGGAAAATAAATTCCCTCAGTGGCTATGTACAAATATATATGTGCTTAATTTTGCACTCTAAATCCAAAACTTCTCTGTAGCAGAGAGCGTGTTTCATCATCAGTCCTCTGGAATCATGAATGGTCATTGTATTGACCATAGTCACTTCAACTTTAAAGATGAGGAAACTGAGACCCTCAAAATGAGAAATAACTTACATGTTAATATGGAGAAAATATTTCCACTGAGTTCTTCTGAGAGGGAATTGTTGCCACATGACACAATCCCCACACAGAGATCCCAGAGATTAAAACCAAGGATTTTTTATGCTTAAGCATAGGTTCAGAGCTCAGGAAAAAGTAGTGAGAGTTTTCAGGAGGCTTGTATAGTTTTCATTTATATCAGAGGGGAAAAGGAATGGAGAGACAAACAATTTTACAGAGATAAACTTAAGGTAATTAGATTTCAAAGCTAGACTTGTGAGATTTATACTTCAAGGTTTCATTTGGAGAGCTTATGGGGGACTAATTGAGAGGAGAGATTTACATGCCAAAAGATATCTACTGAGCCAGAGCCAGTGAATTTGTAAATTTATCATCTAGATGGGAGTTGTCAGGAGTCCAGGCAAGTGTCATACATTCCACTTACCCCGTGTAGTTCCTTACCTAATGACTAAGAGTCTAAACTAATTTTAGCAGACCTCTAGAAAGGCTTTAGCCAGCTTAGTAACCTTCCTAGCAGAAGTGGCAGTTCTGAACCCCAAATAATAAAGACTTCATTAAAAAATCCAAAAGCTTTTATGACAATATGCAAGGAATCATTTGCTTAACTTTACCTCAGTGTGGTAAAAGGTAGGTTCACAAAGAGTCGGGCATGACTGAAACAATGATGACAAATGGAGTAGAAATAGGCTTTTTAGGGGCAGCTAGGTGGTGCAGTGGATAGAGCATTGGCTCTGGAGTCAGGAGGACCTGAGTTCAAATCCGGCCTCAGACACATGGTACTCACCAGCTGTGTGACTCCAGACAAGTCACTTAATCCCAGTTGCCTCACCAACAAAACAAACAAAAAAAAGAAATGGACTTTTTATAATGCTGGATATCAGTCACTTTTCATATAGCCAGCATGAATGAACCAAGATGGAAAATAATTCAGCTGGGACTCAAGACAGATTAAATGGCAAAAGGAATAAATACTTGTAAAACAGCATCCTCCAAAAGTAAATGGTTAATGAATTCAGTGCCCTTTGGCAATTAAAATTTTTCTTTATCTTGTACTTATGGCAACAATAAAGTCTTTGAAAATGTAAGTTCCCCTTGATTGCTTGATCTAAACATCTTGGAAAATAAAAAGTAAAGCTTACTCATTTGAGTAAAGATGGGGAGATGTATGCAGCCTAGGGCTACGGGTGACATATCCTGTGAGTTACTGAGCAGGATTCTACACATTCCTCTCCATATATATGTGAATATGAATCTGTGAAGAGTTTTAATCTAGAATACTTAACATGTAATGTTCCATATTTAATGAGGAAACACCTATGCTGTTAAAATACATCTATGTTTATAAAATTCATTTTTATCTTGTGATATGGTTGGTATAGCTTTGGGGTAAGATAAGTTGATTTTTGAAGTGAAGAAAGGTGGACAATCTTATTCTTAAAGTAGAAAGCAGAATTGTAAGCTCATAGATTTAGAGCGGAAAGTCATCTAATCCGGTTTCTTCATTTAACAGATGAAATTGAGACTTGAGGAGAGGCGAAATGACTTGTTTAAAGTCACATAGGTAGTGGATAATGGAATTTAAGTTTGAACACAGTTCCTCTGAATTATTTGAGGTTATTATAAGAAATGGAAGAAAAGGTATTTCAGTGAAAAGTTTTTTCCAGTGGAAGTTTTTATTCCTAATATTCCCTGGCTTGAGAGACAGTAGTAGAAGGAGAGCTGCTTTTTGAGTCAAGAAGACTTGGGCTTAAGTCTTACCTCCGACGCATACTGGCTGTGTAACCTTGGGCAAGTTGGTGTTCCAGGCAATCCTCTTAGGACTATTAGTTTTTAGAATAGTTGCTGATCTGCAATGATAGAGGAAGTTTCTCATTCTGACCTCCTGTCCCCCTCTCCCCACAAAAAATTATAGGTTAGCTTTTTTAAATGGCCTTATAACTGATTTATATAATAGCAGCATTTTTACTAGCCTTCTAGAAGCTTAAATGAGGACATGTATGAAATGCCTTGAGTTTTTTGGAAGAAGAAAGGTATTGTTATTGTTTTGGATTGTAGAATGATGAAATATAGGAATATAATTGTCCTTGTTTATCCTCAAGTAAGATAATTCAGTTTCCTAGGCTGATTTTAGATAGTCATGAGTATTTATTATCTACCATCTTAGCTCAGGTAGATAATAGATAAATTGATTGACTGAATTTAAAGCAATGGGCAGTAGAATTTTCATAGTGCTGGATGCCATTCACTTTTTGTATCATGGGCATATATAGATGATTTCTACGAGGCTGTCACTGAATAGACAACTAACTTCATTATGATTGTCTTTCTTTTTACCTGGTTACCTTTGAGTCAGAAATGGTATTCCAATCAGACAAATAATCTCTCCAGAGTGGGCAGATAATTGGAGAGTAGGCTTTTTGTTTTGGGGGCTTCACCATATAAAATATATGGCTTTATGAAAAATGATTATACTACTCTGTTACTGGAGCTCAAAATACATTACCAAAAATAAAGGAACAGCCAGTGCTTTTTTTTTCTCTTTTAGAAAATGTTAAAATACACGTCCATCATCCTGATCCCCTTTGTAGAACTTTCTTTGTAAAAAAGAAGTATAGACAAGCAAAATGAATGAACAGAGAGCTACCTGATAGCATATGCCTCATTTCCTACTTGTAGTCTACCACCTCTACGCCAAGAATAGGAAACATGCTTCATTCTTAATATACTTTTTGAAAATCTTTTATCAATGAACATTTTTTCACTCTCACTTTTCTGTGCCACCCCCACCAGCCAAAATAAGAAAGAGAGAGTGAGTTACAAATACTTGTAACAAATGACGAGAGTTAAGTACAATAAATCTCCATATTGGCCATGTCAAAAAATGTCTGTTGCCTTGCATAGTAGTAGTTCATCGCTTTTCTGTGGGTAAGATTCTTCATTATTGGTCATCTGGAATCACGGTTGGTAATTGTGTGAATCAGAGTAGAAATCCTTCACGATTGTGTTTCTTGACAATGTTGATATTATAGCATAAATTGTTCTCCCAGTTCTATTCACTTTACTCTGCATTAATTCGTACAAGTCTTCCTAGGTTTCTTTGAAACCATCTTTTTCTTCATTCTTATTTAAAAAATTTTTTTTAACAAAACCTATGTTTTAGCAATACAATTTTGTTTTGTTTTGATTTTTAAAGATTGGGTTACCTAATGCAATGTCCAGAGTTAGTAAATGTAATGTTTCGTTCGAGGGAAAACAGAGGCCATTGTCACTGAATTGCTGAATTTGTGGAAGGGTGTAAAAATGGGAAAGTGGGGGGGTGGTGAGGGTGGTGGTTACGAAGGGCTTTCAATACTAAACAGAGAATTTGATATTTGATCCTGGGAATGATAAGAAATCACTGAAATTTATTTAGTCAGGGGAGAGATAGCATGATCAGACTTGCACTTTAGGAAGATCACTTTGGGATCTGAGTGAAGTGTGAACTAGAGTGGGGAGAGATTTGTTCCAGGCAGACCAACCAATAGGATATTGCAATAGTCTAGGCTTGAGGTGATGAGGACCTACACCAGGGTGATGGCAGTGTTCAGAGGAGAGGAGTACATATGTGAGAAAGCTTAAGGGTTGGGGTTAGAAAAGCAAAAAATAATATTTAGACTAGCATTTCATGTTGTATATCATAACAAATTCCAATCAGATATAAGATATAGGTTTTTATATATCATAACAAATTCCAATCAGATATAAGATGTAAGATTTTAGCAAAAACAAATTAGAAGAGCAGGGAAAAAATGTATTTCATAACTGGATAGAAGATATTTATTTTTTTTTTAATTTTATTTGTATTTTCAGTTCCAAATTCTTACCCTTCCTCCAGCCTTTCTCCTACCCATTGAGAAGTCAGGAAATGATATTATGCAAAAGAAGCCATGCGAAATATATTTCTACATTAGCCATGTTCTGAAAAAGAAACAAAAAAAAATGCTTCATTCTGCACTCTGAATCCATCATTTTTCTGTCTGGAGGTGGATAGAATTTTATACGATGAGTCCTTTAGAGTTGCAATGAATCATTGTATTGTTATAGTCTTTCACAGTTAATTATCTTTACTGCAGAGAGCACAACTAAGATGGGCTGGCCACATTGTTTGAATGCCGAATGTATGTTTGCCAAAAAAACTTTTATGGAGAACTCACACAGGGCAAGCACTCACATGGTGGTCAGAAGAAGCCACACAAGGACACTCTCAAGGTCTCTCTGAAGAACTCTGGAATTGATTGTGTGACATGGGAGACACTGGCACAGGACTGCCCAGCATGGTGTGCCCTTATCAGAGAGGGTGCTCTGCTCTATGAGCAAAGTAGAATTGAAGTAGCTCAAAAAATACACGACACATCAATTTAGATAATCTACCCCAAATGTTCACATGGACTATTTGTGCCTGACCTGTCGTAGAGTCTTCTGAGCTTGTATTGGTCTGATCAGCTACAGTCAGACATGTAACTTGACTCTAGTCATAGTCAAGTCATAGTGATGTCATTTTGGTTTTCTTGGAGAAAGAAGGACAACAACCAATTATCTTTACAATATTGCTGTTTCTTTGTAAATTGTTCTCCTGATCCTGCTCACTTTGCTTTGCATCAGTTTTTCTGGAACCATCCCCCTCATAATTTCTTGCAGCACAATAGTTTTACATCACATTCCTATACCACAACTTGTTCAGCCATTCTCCAGTTGATGGGCATCCCCTCACCTCCAGTTCTTTGCCACCACAAAAAGAGCTGATATAAATATTTTTGTACACATGGGTCTTTTTCCTTTTTCTTTGATCTTCTTGGAATATAGACCTAGTAGTCGGACTGCTGGGTCAAAAGGTATGTACAGTTTTATAGCCCTTTGAGCATAGATCTAAGTTCTCTTAAGTGGTTAGACCAGTTCACAACTCCACCAGTGGTACATTAGTATATGTGTTTTCCAGAATCACCTCCAGCATTTGTTTTTTCTCTTTCTGTCATCTTGCCAATATGATGGGTGTAAGGTGATACTTCAGAGTTGTTTTAATTTGCATTCTCTAGTTATTGGTGTTTAGAGCATTTTAAAAATAAGACTTGGTAGCTTTCATTTTCTGTGAAAACTGCTTGTTCACATTCTTTGACTATTGGGGAACGACTCCTATTTTTATGACTTTGGTTCAAGTCTGTGTATTTGAGAAATGGGACCTTTAGTAGATAAACTTGCTGCAAATTTTTTTCCCTAGTTTCTTAATTTTCTTCTAACTTTGGCTATATTGGTTTTGTTTATGCAAAACATTTTTAATTTTATATAACAAAAATTATCCATTTTACCTATGAACCTTTCTATCTCTTGCTTCCCCTATCCATATATCTGACAGATAGTTCTTCCATTCTCCCATAATTTTCTTATGATATCACCCTTTATGTATAAATCATGTACCCACTTAAAGCTTATCTTGGTGTTCAGTGTGAGATGTTGGTCTATGCCTAGTTTCTGCCAGACTACTTTCTAGTTTTCCCAACAAGTTGGTCAGCTAGTGAGTTCTTGCCTCAATAACTTGAGATCTTTGGGGGTTTATCAGACAGTAGGTTACTATGCTCATTTGCATCTCTATGTTGTTACCTAATCTATTCCATTGATCAACCAGTCTATTTAACATCCAGTACCAAATTGTTTTGATGGTTACTGCTTTGTAATATATTTTGAGATCTAGTATTGCTAGACTCCTTTCCTTCCCATTTTTTCATTGATTC